TCCCCATGGACCAAGAAGTTACGAGATTGCTCAGTCAATCCTTCCCAGCTTCCTTCTCCATCGTCTTTTTCTTCTTCCACATGGCTATTTACATGAAATTTCTAGGACATTAATTTCTTCCAAGGCTCCTACCTTTGTTGTATTTGGTTGAAGTTGGCTAACAGATTTTAAAAGTTATCAAGTAAACTTGCAGAGGAACCTAGTTTGATGACAAAGTAGTTATAAAACTGAGATCCACTATGAAGGCAGAAGAAATACCAATCCCAGTCATTTATCTTGTCAAACAATGAACAAGTTTTTTCTTCTATCCTGAACTACTGTTCAGATTAGACTGTTGATAACACATTATTAATTAGGATATTTGGCATTAAACGCTACTCGCAGCCTATATTGAAACCAGTGGGTTTGTTTACTACCTTTTTCATCTGAAAGTTCAAAATTTTATTACATCTCAAACTTGAATTCTGGCAGTAGGTTGAATGTCTGTCTGCTGCATGCATCTCTATAGCTCAGGTGTTCATCTTTTGAGTTTAATTACATGAGATGAAGCATCCCTCCTGCAAAAACCTCTGATTTTCTCACTCTTTGCTTCTTTTAAACAAAATATGTTCCTTATGCCCACTTAACAGATCAAGAGGAGAGTTTCTCTGGTTGCCCTCTTGATTGCTATAAGGAATTTCTTCTACATGGAGCCAGTCAAAACCGTTGTGGCTTTACATGACAATGAAAGTTTGGTAGCTTGAAGATCTACCTTTTCTTGCTTCTGTACATAATTTCCTATCATTTAAGTACAGTTGAGATTTTTTTTTCCCTCATTGCTTTAGCTGTGCCCAGAAAACTTCTGTTGTCAATCTACAAAAGACTGGGGAAATTTCATCAGTGTTTGTGTACAGGGAGCACAATGGCAAAGTAAGTTTACACAAGGTAGAGAAGATAAAAAAATTAATCGTGCACATTATATGTTCACAATATTTTTACCAGGAAAAGACAGCTATCAATTACACAGTACAGTACGTGGCTATGATCAACAGAATGTTTAAGAAAAAAGCTCTGGTTCTTGCAGTCTAGAAGCCTATAGGATTAGGAGACATTTGGATACTGAGTTAGGAGATATTTGGAGAAAATAAAGGGGCATGGAAAAAGGGCCTCTAACTGAATTAGAACTTTTTGCCTTAGAAATTAAATAAATTAGAAGAGATTCAAATATGCAGGCCTGAGGCTTAGGAGAGGAAAAAAAAACAAACCACTGAACAAACCAAACCAAACCAAACCAAAACCAGCCCTTCTCTGAAGCACTGTAGAAGACTGGAAAACCAAGAGGGGTGTGAGTGCTCCATTGGCATGCTGTGCATAGAACAGGAGCTGAACAGAAATGAGCAGGCTGGAAACCTTCTTCTGAAAGGTTATGCTTTGTTAATAAGACACCGAGAAAAAACATGGTATAAAGTTGAAAATGTGATGTAATTGCATTAATGTGTGAAAAGCCTGGGCAAACTAACTCAGCGTAAATGTGCTCAAGGCTAGCTGTCAACCAAATCTAAAGCCTCTCTTTAAGCCTGGGGTTGCAGCAGCTCCTAGCAGGGAAAGCTCCATAAAAGACAATCTTCCTGGGGCAACAAGTATTATTTGTGTCTTTACATGTGATCTCCTATGAAAAAGCACAAAATCACTAACAAGTGACTAACAAAAATCAGCAGCCAGAAGGATGGTCAGTAGGAAAGGACAGCATAGGACTGGGATCAACTAACCCAAATTACATGGTAAAGCTTCAACATACAACAGCCTAAACTGAGGCAGATGGTCAATCCACTGGACTTGACATTAAGTGCCAATGAACAACATACTACCTAAGGAGGTAAGTAACTGTCACCTGCCCTAAGAAATCAGAGGACAACTCTTAAGTTATGACTACTGTCTTTTAGGGAAAGTGTAATTGCTGTCCCATTTCCCTTCTTTTACTTTCCTCCTTTCTAAGTTCTGTTTTATTAAGCTGTTTGTAGATGGGAGGTACAGTATTATTTAGGCCACTTTTTTGTAAATATTCCCTGTAAATTCTGCATCAAGTTCTAGCAAAAGGATTGTGAACATAAAAATAGCATAGAGAATGTGATTTGTGAGCTTTAATTTTCTTAATCTTGTAGTACAAGAGGAAGCAGACTCTGTAGCTGACAACTCATATATTTGAAACCAAGTGTTGTCTTTTTATCAAAGAACAAAATAGACTGTGAAACTCACTGCTGTAGGATGTTATTAAAGTCAAAATGCACAGCAGGAGTCTAAGAGGAAGAAAAATATTCTCTTGTCCCGAATTACTGTATTTCTGGGTACTCTCATTATTCATACAAGAAGATTTCAAAAAAAAAAAAAAAACAGCTTGAAACATAAAGTTTAAGCAAGTTAGTAATTAGGATGAAACCTCCATCACCCCAATTCTGTCAAAAATATGTTTGGGTTTGTTTGGGTTTTGCATCTTCTCAGAAGCTATGGGAATTGACAACAGTTACAGATACATAACTGGGCTAAATGAACCTAATGCTGTATGGCAAGTAATATGCTTCAGTGAGATCAACATTTTCTTAGAAATAAAACTAGGTTTAGCCTACAGAGAGAGCATGTCAGTGATCAAACTATACATGCCTTGAGGAAAAACAGAAAAAGGAATCTCTAAGGTTTAATTTTGTAAAGCAAAGTTTCAAAGAGACTGCTGAAAAGCAAGTAATTGCTCCAAACTACCTTCTTCTGAAAGGTCAATTTTTAGCTTCCTTTAGGAGAATGTATCCTTTAGGAGAATGAAAGAAATACATGTTACACAACTGTTCTGTTCAGAAAATCCTTAATTACCACAGGAAGTCTGTTCTTTTAGGCAACTTAGGCTTTTGGGAAATTCATGAAATTCACCATGAAAATGATGAATTGTATTCCTGTTTATGGCCCTGCTTAGCAATTAAAATCTCTAACTTAAAAATGCAATCACCAACTATTAAGATATCTTCGAAAGTGCTGACATTCCCTGTGGAAGGGTCTGTCACGGTTCCTCCCAAAATTCTCTATAGTTCACTGTATTTGCGAAGGCTCATTTTGATATTCAATCTCCCACATATCCAAAATTGGATGGCAATAGTCCTGCTATACAAATGAATGGAAGAGGAGAGTCCAGCTCTCACTGTAACCTGCTTATCTTTCAAAGAGTAGCATAGTCACAATAGTATTGCCAATAGTAGCAGAGCAGAACACATTTTTGCTTACGTGTCTTTTTCATTAGCAGTTCTATGATACCACTGAAACACCACATCCTGGAAAATATAGCAAGGGAGGCTATATTATTAAGGTGGTTTTACAAGAAAAATGAAGATACACCCGAAGTCTGCTTAAGGGCTTTTAATCCAGATATTGTGAATAAAACCAGCAGCAGCGCTGTCACCTGCACTGATGTATAGGTGCATTCCGTGCCCACTTCTTCACTTTGTCACATGAGAACAACTGCTGAAATTTCTTCATCAAGACTAAAGCCTTCAGAGCAATGCTTTATAGACGTTTCAGACCGCCTTCAAGATGTTAGGATAACCAGATGTCATTTGCTTCTCATTACATTTTCAAAATCCCCGGAAGAGATTTTTCATTGCTAACCTTTTTTCTTCATCAGTTTAAGATTCTCAACCTGATAATCTGTATCTTAATATATTCAGAAATTGGTTACAAAAATATTTGTGTAGCACCTAAAGTAATCTATTACTCAAAAGCTTACTACATTCTATTGCAGTAAGTTAAAATACAGAGTAAAGTTAATCTCACAAGGCCTATGAGCCTTATTAGTAGGACTGATCATTTTAGTCAAAGCACTGCTATGCATTTTGGTTTGCAGAACTGGTGATCTAAGTTTTTCCAGATTCAGGGAAACCTAAACCACTGGACTGGCATTTTTCCTATGCAGTAGCAAAGCCATAAAGAAATCTGTGGGACAAGAAAGATAATTCAGCAAATCAAGCAAAGATGGATTACGAGATACTTTTTACCCTAAATTAAGTTGTGACCGTTATATTTCTTTACACAAGATGTCAGAGCTCTAGCAAAAATCTGGGAAGAGAATACAGGATTTTCCCCAGATTTTTTTTGCTTGTGAAGCAGAGGCAGAGGCACTTGAGACATTGATACTGCAAAGAAGGATGTGGGTAATTCTGGTTCCATATTCGGTCTGAGTGGGTGTATGTCAGTTGTCTTTTGAGGGATGCTCCACACTCTTCCTGCAGAATAGATGCACCCTGTCAGGCATAAACCCAGCTGTGCAGCGTCAAGCCACCTGCTACAGCATGGGGATCTGAGAGCCTCAAAGAACCTCAGAGGCTGGTTTGCAGTAAGTCGGCTCAGCCTTGGGCACCACTCTGTATCGGTATAGAGACAGGATGCCCATGGGCTGCCCCTGAGCATTTCTGCAGGTGTCACGTGGGCTGACACCCGTGTGAGGGTCAAACACACCTCCATTGTGGTGCTGGAGGGTGGGTGCTGCTCTAACTGCTAACTTCTGTTGTACTTCTATTAAAATATGATACGCTTAAATAAAAGCATGGAACTCTGTGACCTTGTGTTTAAGTTGACTTATTTTTGTTTCAGTAAAATTTGCATGTTGTGTAATAATACAGATGTAAAAATCCAAGTATTTTTCCTTTAGCTGTTGTGTGACATCTTGGTCTTTCATGCAGTAAAACTACTCTTTTGAATACAACTATTCATATGTTCGCTGTGCCAGGAACATCTTTCATACACGCCCTCTAAACTATTAACCCAGGATGGGTAGCCACAAAAGGAAACAAGTTTGGTCTAATTAATTGGATGGCCCAGCTAACAAATGGCAAAGACACAAGGAGGCCTGCAATGACTGCAACAGTGGTGGCCCAGGGAACAGCCCACACATCCCTGCCCTCCCTTAACAAACAAATAGTAACTTCTGGTAAAGTATTTGCTTCTCCATTATATAACTGAAGAGTTCAAATTTCTCCCCCCAGAGCAAGATAGCAGTCTACAGATAAAAGCTGTCAAGTACAACAAACGCCAGTCCTGAAATCCCAACTGCAAGCAAGTCAGTGAGATCAAGATTTTACAAGGCAACTTTAAAAGACATTTGCTTTTAAGGCTACTAAAAGAAGTATTATGATTAATCACAGAGGGCATAAAAGCTGGAGATGGACTTTCATTTACTTGCCTTTGACAGGTCTCTGCATCACGACGGTAAGCCCAGCTCTGAGCCGGTGTAACACAGCAGGACTCAGCTAACTTCACAGCTGTGCTGGTTTAAATCACAGAATTTGGCCTGTTTTAAGACTTGAGAGCTGCGTGATTCTGTTACCCTTGTTTCTATGTAAAAAACAGGAGTATATAAAAGAGCAATAGGGTAGAGCACTACCTCAGCAATTTGGAACGACAGTGGAACCGCTATGGATTACTAACTCGAACCTTGTGCCCACAGCTTGGCTGAGAGTCCTCAGAGCAGAGCAAGAGAAACCTACTATGTGATACATGTACGCCAGCAGAGTGCTCTGCCTTGAAATGAGAGCCGACAGGCAAAGCCAGTGGAATACATTGGGAGCATTGTTTTATTGCTGCTTTACTGCTGAGATTGCTGAACGGTCACGAAAATGCCTGGCGCTGCTGCTGCACTGTTCCAGCAGGACATGACCTGCTGTGGGAGATGGCTGCACGCTGCATCTCTATGGTGTGCAGCAGCAGCTCATGAAAATGCTGAAGAACTGGAAATATCAGATGAGTTCTCTCTATGCAACTGAGTTTACAGCAGTTGGACTATTGCCAGCTAAACTAGCACAATTTAAAAGTAAACCAGAATTTCTACACCAGCAGAAGTGTGTCAGCTGCACTAAACCCACATGGAAGCTGGTCCCAGGGAAGCAGAGCAGGAGGCCATTGGCTCCTCACCCCAGCCCTGCTGGCCCACACTGTGAGCTGGGCCCCACAGCTTTGGGTCACTTTATTCATTTCCCGTGCTTAAAGGTTCTTGACTGCACAAAGCAATCTTGGATTACAAAGGAGCGTAGGCTACATCTCAACTGTTTCAAGTGCTGCCAAGAAAAAAGGGGACTTGGGTCAAGCCCAAGCTAGCCAAGCACAGAATTGTCAAACCAAGGTTTTCAACAAATCGCTTCCCAGAAAGTCATGAGACAAGCATTAAAAAACAAAATTCATGAGGACTTAATAATAGTTTGGTGTTGTCTTTATTTCCTTTCCTTGTTCTTGTATTCAGGTTTCTCTTCAAGCCTGAGAAAAGAAATTCTTCCTTGCTTAGGTTTAGATTTTCAATTGCTAGCTGATTGCCAGATTTTGAAATTACATAAAAGAAGGATTTAAGCACAATATTTTAAAAATTACAAAATGTATCAACTTTAAAAACTACTGTTCACATTCCTGGTGTGCTATACGTGCTCCTGCGGTGTCAGAGAGAAGGATCCTCATTTCTAACTCCAGTTATGCTGGAGAGCAGCATAACTGATAAGCTTACTACAGCCTGGATTCCCACGAAGTCTCAAATATGCAAGTACTTACTTGTAAGCTTCTAGCTGGTTTTGTAATCTCTTTTATATTGTTAAGATATAACAGAAATGATCCCTCACATGCATAAATGTTTGCGGCATCACACGGTATGACTCTTGGGGCGGTCCTGTGCAGGGCCAGAAGCTGGACTTTGATGATCCTTGTGGGTCCCTTCCAACTCAGGATATTCTATGGTTCTATGATTCTATGATTCTAACTTTGTCCTTCTCCACAAGTACACAGAAATATCTCATTTGGTCTCTTACAAAAACATCAGCATATACCTTAAGAAGCTGAGCCCCAGTATTGCTTTATACACTGATTAGTGTTTTTTATCTTTCAGTCATATCAGTTATGACTTCCAATGACTGTGGACAACAGCAACGAAAATTATTTGAAATTATAGCCTTTGACCAGAGAACATTTTGACTTATATGCATTTTATTCAGCCTCTTGCCCATTATCCACATTTTAATTTTTAATTCTAAATATCTCTCCATTTCCTACTTCTGGATGTAAAAATCTGATGAACATTTTTCTTCCCTTCACTGCTGGTATGTGCAGCATGTTCAGGGCTGTGAGCATAGCAAGACGGAAGCCGTGCTTGCTATGCCTCCTGGTGGGCATACAAACTTCCTGCCTCAGTACCTTTGTGTATCACGCATTCTCCAAGAATCTTATACTAAAGCCTTTCTCATGTGTAATTGAGCTGCTTCCCATTACAAACCAATAGTCTACCAGTAAGAGTAAACGCATTCCTTTGTAGACATCTATCCAAAATGTATTTTTCAAAGGTAGTAAAGACCAGCATGCAGGACCTCATACATCACTCGTCCACTCACTACTGACAGCACAGCATGTCTTGCAGCATCTACAGCAATCAACATCTTTGCTCAATGGAGAGATTTTTTTACACTTCATTGCATATGTTCTTACAAAACAACTGTATGGACTTCTGGGAAGAGAGCAAAAATGTGTTACTGATAGTTAATAACAGCATTATTCAGAGAAGAAAATTGGGCATCAGTAGACAAGAGGAATGGATATCAGGCTGTAATTCATTGGCAGCACCAATCTTGTGCAGTTGGAAATGCTTTTTTCTTTCATTGGAGACTCTAATTACTGTTCTTTTTTCTTTCCTTTTTTTTTTCCTGTTAGTTTTTGCGAAAATCACCTCTATGAATCTACACCACACCTGACTCATGAACACTAGAAAAGCAAAAGGGAGGGAGAGGCAGGGAGGAGAAGGACTGTGTCAGCTTCACCTCAGATTTCTATAAATTGTCATGGTACTACACGCTATGGCCTCAACGATTGCAGAATCATGGAATGGTTTGGGTTGGAAGGCACCTTAAAGTTCATGAAGTGCCAGCCTGCCTGCCCTGGGCAGGGACACCTTCTGCTAAACCTGATTTCCCAGGGCCCCATCCAACCTGGCCTTGAACATTCCCAGAGTTGGGGCATCCACAGCTTCTCTGGGAAACCTGTTCCAGTGTCTCACCACCCTCTGACTAAAGAACTTTCTTCCTGACATCCAATCTTAATCTCTCAGTTTGAAGCCATTCCCCCATGCCCTATCACTACATTCCCTTGTCAAAAGTCATTCTCCAGCTCTCTTGTAGCCCCCTTCAGTACTGGAAGGCTGCAATGAGGTCTCCCTGGAGCCTTCTCCAGGGTGAACAACCCCAACACTCAGTCTCTCTTCATAGGAGAGGTGCTCCAGCCTTCTGATCACCAGGCAACTATCAGCAAGACAAGAGGGCATGGTCTTAAGTTGTGCCAGGGGAGGTTTAGGTTAGATTTTAGAAAGAATTTCTTTACAGAGAGGGTAATCAGAAATTGGAATGGGCTGCCCAGGGAATTAGTGGATTCTCCGTCCCTGGAGATTTTTAAGATGAGACTGGATGTGGCACTCATTGCCGTGGTCTAGCAACAGCAGTGGTAGTGGATCAAGGGTTGGACTTGATGATCTCAGAGGTCCCTTCCAACCCAGCTGATTCTATGATTCTATGATCTTCATGGCCTTCCTCTGGACTCATTCCAACAGGTCCAGCTCATGAAGCTCGACAGAAACAGAATGATGAAGCTGAGGACAGAAGGCCATATGAATACCCACGCATTATCTTGCTGAAACTGTTCGCCATCTAGTGGTTTGTTGGCCTCCTACAAGTACAAACTTAAAAATAGTAAAGAATTGGTGGGTATAATTTGGGGGGGGGAGGGGGGAGAAATGTTTGTATTACATCTGTTCCCCAGTGTGCAAGAACCTATAAAAAAATATGAAAAAAGATGAAGTGCCTCCTGCAAAGTGCTCTACCATTAGGATGAACATCCCATGGAGACAAGCAACAAAAACCTGCACACAACCAAGGTGAGATTCAGAGAGAGGTTAGGTACACTGCGTTGGTAATTTTTCTCTCCTTTATTTCACTCTATTCCTCTTATTGTGTCAAGATGTCCCGATCTAGTTTGCTCCACCATTTTCTTCAAGCTTGCCCACCCAAAAACGTACATTATATACAAACTATGAGGGAATTAGGAGGGCCCTGTGTTTGGCGGTGGGAGGTTCCAGGGAGCAGCATGAGATGACTACTCTGCAACAGAAGGTGTGCCAGGAGCTAAGCACAATACTGAGGTGAGTAAAAGCAGTCACTTCACCAACAAGGAGCCAGGGCGCAGAACAGCAACCCCTGGCCAAGACTGGGTTGAGAGACAGTGGTCAGGGTCAGATACAGCCCAGTGGTCACCCAGCAGGGCTGCAGTGGCAAGGCAGGTCCGAGACCAAGCTAGGATGCCAAGTCAGCAAGTCTGGATCATGGCCAGACTCGTGGAGATGCGGGATGGCGCAAACAGAGCTGCTGGCACAGACACGGGCCAGCACAAAGCCTCAGTTTAAAAGTGGCTCTGAAGAGAAAGGAGAGGCAGGCCCTCGCTGTGGCTTTTCTCACAACTGCTCTTATCAGTGGAGGAGCTGACCTTGGATTCTGCCAAGTAAACTTTTGCAAAGGGGTAATGTGCTCAGGGCCATGGCAGTCAGAGGGCTGGAACAGAGCTATGGAACATATCCAACACAGGGGTAAAGCAAGTTGATGGCCTTCTTCATTAAAACAGTATATGGATGAAAATCCCACTTGAAAGCGGATCGAAGAGAAGTTCAAAGAGCTCACGTTGTTCAGTTTGGGCAAATCAAGAACTCTTGCTGTTAATGATGGCTTCATTAATGAGAAGCATCAAAGGACATCTAAATTATTAACTGATCACACTGATTTAAAGCTCACTGATTTGAGGCTACTAATTTAATTTGTACATGAAAAAAGATCAAATACAATCTTGGGATGTATCAGGGCCATACGCTTCTATTAGAGACACTGTACAAGACCTGAATTGAATGTACAAATTATCAGTTAACTTCAGAAAGAAGAAAAACTAAATTCATAAGCAGCCCTGGCCAGGAAAAAATCAGCATAAATAATCCTATACTAAGAACTAAACTAATAAAAGAAATTGCTTGAAAATTGATAAATAATTTGGCATTCTCCACTTCCAAGGAATGAAATTTTGTGACTGTTTTTCAGTGCAATTAATAGCAGCAAGAAAACTTAGGAAAAAGATAAATATTTAGTTAAAAAATTATTTATTTACTTGAGTTGCATGTGACAGCAAAGACGTCACATGCAACATTAGAAGGTACAGAGGGTCCCTTTTAGACTTATTTCCTGCATTAACCATTAATTTGTAACAAGCAGCCTTCTGGTTGAAGTCAAACTAGATTATCTGATGTGCTCTTTGGGCTTTACAATATTAGAAGTCCAGCTAGAGCTGTATGTATTTAGCTACAGGATTATGTATATATGACTCCATGCTGTAGTAAGAGCATTGAAATAAACTGTATTATTTATGGCCACATTCTCTTGTGTTGGAAAAGAAACCAATGAAAAAGAGCTCATTGTGAGAGGATACCAGTAAAGTAGCTGAGGAGCAAGCCCTCAGAGTATTTATTTTGGTGAATTCTCTATGAGATATTCACATATTTTAACTGCATTTATAATAACATATGATTTAATAAACATATTGAGTGCACTGATTTCACTTATATTTTTAAAATATTATTCTATGAGTGGTATATTGAACAAATGCAATTATTTTGCTAGTAATCAAAGAATAACTGAAAGCTATTCTTCCTGTATTGTACACAGTGGCAACCAGAGTAAAGTTACTACAGCCTCTGTGACAGATAAAATTTCTAAGGAAATTACGTAGAAAATGTGGTCAGCCTCATGTCAGCTGAAATGTAGAGATATACCGTGTATGTAGGTAATTGTAAAGCTTTTAAAATCCAATGCTAAATCTAGATGGGGAGAGCCATATATTTGCTTTTGTGGAAAGAATACTGTAAGGTAAAGGATAACGACATGAAACAAATTCGGTTTTACAGCATAGGTGTTGTAAAAGCTACTTTGACATAGCAATAACTGAAATAAAGTGTAAAAGACAAGATGCGGGCTATCTAAAATCTCACATTGGCTCTATCTGTAATGGGTAAAGGGAATCCCTCTAGCAACAC